TGGTGTAATGTTTTGTTCCCCCTTTTCGTTGTCGGGTTTTCGATTATCTTGACGGGTTTTCTGTGTGCTACAGTATGTATTGCTGTGCGTATAACGTGCAGTAGTGGCAAAAGTGGGGAGTGCAACGTGTGTGGGTACCGTGGTGTCATTGTACAGAAGGGCCTCCGGTCGATTGAAGCAATCAAGCATACACGAGAAACAAGCCGGTGCGCATGGCCCAAACTTCCTGTCCCGCCCCAGGAAGGCGCCATATACACATACCAAGATTTTTTTTTTTTTTTTTCATGAGTATCTTCGTTCTTCTCTACTCAAGCCCCGCCGATACAATGAAAAAAAAAAAGAGGTACAGGGTGTTTTGAGTTCGTGGTTGCCGAAATATTAGATCAAAATTTATCACCCCCCCCCCCCGGAAATGCCTTAAAAATCCTATACGAAAACCACAAAATTCCAGGAACGCCTCAAATCGATTTGGTCCCTGAACAACTCTTGTGGCAAATAGGATGTAGATCACTACTAAAAAAAAAAAAATGAAAAAAGTGAAAAAATCGTGAAGTTATGGCCGGTCAATCAAAATCGGTCTCACACTTTCCGGCACTGTNAATGAAAAAAGTGAAAAACTCGTGAAGTTAGGATGTGTCTTATCGACAGAATCAAGATCAGAAATCGAAATCAANAAGTGAAAAACTCGTGAAGTTATGGCCGGTCAATCAAAATCGGTCTCACACTTTCCGGCACTGTACACACACTGCGTATTTCCAAGAAGCAATGCCCCCCCCCCCCGGCTCCGGCTGCGCGACAACCACGACGACACGGAAACAGCGAAAACGACAACGACCACAGAACAGGGTGTAGTAAATAAACTAGACATTTCAATGCTCCAAGTACTGCTGTAGCTTGCACGGAATGAGCACACCTCTATCGGCATAGATAAGACAAAAAGATGGATAAATAGATGGACAGGTATCACGCAACTCCTTCAGTCTATATATGCAACCCGCTCACCTCCTTCCCTCCCACAAAACAACTCGCTCTTGGTCGAACAACATGCCACTCGTCCGCCGCAATCTCCTTCGGCCAGTGCACGCGAAAGGACAGCAAAAAAAAAAAGGAGCGACAATCTGAGCTACTATGTAGTACATGTATGCATACAGTACACCTCCATGCGCTACGACAAACCGCACGCCTCTGCCTTAGGAAGCGGTTGGCCACACAAACAACTCTGTGGCGAAAACTGACACCTACCGTTGGAGAAAACGGACAACACATATTTCCGCCGCACGGCCTCATTCCCATTCTTGGCACACCAATCGAACCTGCGTCCCAAAACTAAAAAACACACACGGCATGCATACGATCAACACACACGCGTCACACGTCCAGATCGTTGAAACATATGCCCCCCCCCCCCCCCCCCCCCCCCCCCCCCCCCCCCCCCCCCCCCCCCCCCCCCCCCCCCCCCCCC